GGGTAGCTCCTCGTTGGCTATCTCCGTCTCTGTCGCCGCTTCGCTCGATGGCCCCAAAAAACCGAGCCGCAAGCGTTTTCGCCAACCAGGCTACCACTACCCGCTCTAGGAATCGGGGGAGACCGTGGCCAAGCACAAGCCATTCTGTAGCGAGACTGAATGACCCGAGGCAATGAACAAGACCAGGAGCACATAGTGGGATGCAAGGAGATTATGCTGAGATGGTGCTTGCTCAGTGGTGCTGTCTCTGGCTACCTCTGTGCTGGCTTGCGGGACAGAGTGCGGGGGGGCGGGAGGGAGGGAAGAGGAGGGAGGGAGGGGAGGGGAGGACGGGAGGCAGCAGCCAACGAGCATGATGGTCTCGTTGGAGCGGTAGCGAGTGTCCGGAAGGAGGGATTGTATGCTTGCCTCTGTGGGAAGATAGGGAAGAGGTAGAAGAAGCTGAAAGGGATGCAGAGATAGAGTATTGGAATGGGTACATGGTGGTGGGTAGTGGTGGTGGTGGTGAAAACGGTGTGTATCATGTGTGGACACTGGGAAGGGGGGGCCTCTCCCGAGCTGTCCCGCTGTTCGTCGTCGTCGAATAGACAGAACAAGTCGGTATGACGCTACTCACCATGGCCATGAGCCTGCTGCTGCGAGGAGCGCGGCTGAACCTTGTCAAGCTCATGTCATGTGGTAGTCTCTAACATGGCTAGCAACATTGGTGTACGTACCCCGAGTCGACATGGCGAGACGACTATGGCCGTAGCCGACAGTATCACTGCCGCTCGCTGCTTGCTCCTCGCTCTTTCTCACGTTTTGCTTGCGTTCAATGCTTGATGAGTGGCCGAGTCGAGTGCACGGAAAAAGCGCGGTAGACCAGCTGGATGTGCCGAGATTGTAGGAGGTAGTATGTTACACGATGTAGGGAGATGTCATGACACGCTGAGCGAGGCAAGACATAGTGTACGTGTAGTGGGGGAGAGAATGAGAAGTGAGGTGCATGTTAGGGGTAGGTGGGTAGGAGAAAGGTGCTGTGGTGGTGGCGGTTGACAAAGTGGCTGGCCCGGTGGGGCGATTAGTTCAATATTTTCCGCCCCAGCTGACAGCTGCCAGCAAGACCTGCTTCACATCTCGGGCCGCCCAGCCCACCTTACCTCTCACCTCTTGCTCCTCCCCCCTTTCTTTTCAGTCACCTTCACACTCCCAGCCCACCCCCCACCTCACCCCCACCTCACCCCCGCCTCTACACTGCTTTGGATGTTCGTTCGCCGTCCGGCAGCACATTTTTTTTCACCTCACGCCCCCAAAGCCACTGTTCGCTCGAAGGCCAATACGATGACGGGAGGAAAAGTGGTGCTGGCCAGCGGTACGTGACGAAAGACAGGGTATGTGCTACACCAGCCAACACACAACGCAGCGCACCATGAGTTCGGATACGGTGCAGGTACGTGTGCTACACCATCCCCTTCCTTCTGTACCTGCGTTCTGTGTCCAGTGCGTCCTTCCTCCCTCCCTCCCTCCCTCCCTTCCCCCCCCCCCCCCCTCCTTCCGTCTCCCGCCCTCGGCTGTCTGTCTTCCTCAGCCCGATGTCGCCGGTGGTGGTGTCTGGTGCACGGTAAAGAGGTAGATGGCGAACAGCCATGTACACGGGCCAGGACCACGAGCCAGGTCCACGAGCCAGGACCACGAGCCAGGACCACGAGCAAGTTCCACGAGCCAGGAACACAGGCAATGCGATCCAGCCAGACCGGTGGTTGGTGACCCGGACTCGCCGAGCTGGCTCGAGTCCCATGTGCATCTGTGTGTTTGTGTGCGGACGTGTACTCATCGGGGCTGTTGTGTGTTTGTGTTTGTGTGTGTGTGCGTGTGTGTGTGCGTGTGTGTGCGTGCGTATGTGTGATTGTGTGCTTGCTTGCTTGCATGCATGCATGTGCGTGCGTATGGGTGTACGTATGGGTGTGGGTGCGGGTGCGGGCGTGAGGGAGCAGATTGCGGTGCGGATGCGGCCGTTCAACGCGCGTGAGAAAAAGCTCAAGACGGCCAAGTGCGTGGACATGGTCGGCCAGATGTGCACCGTGACGGATCCCGAGTCGGGCAAGGAGCGGCAGTTCTCGTTCAACTACTGCTACGACTCGTTTGAACCGGGCTCGGAAAACTTTGCCTCGCAGGAGATTGTCTTCCACGACCTGGGCACCTCGTACCTGGAGAACGCATGGAAGGGATACAACTGCTCGATCTTTGCATACGGACAGACCGGTGCCGGCAAGTCGTACTCAATGACGGGCGCGCCGGGCCAGCCGGGTATCATTCCGCGCGGGCTGGCGGAGATGTTCCGGCGGATCGACGCCAACGACGACCCGGACCTCTCGTTTCGTGTCGAGGTGTCGTACCTGGAGATCTACATGGAGAAGATCCGCGACCTTTTCAATCCCAAGCAGGCGGTGCCGAGCCTCAAGGTGCGGGAGAGCCCAAAGCTAGGAATTTTCGTGGAAGGGCTCAAGAAGAAGGAGGTTGGCTCGTACGCCGACGTGGAGCGGCTGATGGAGATGGGCAACACACTGCGAACAGTGGCGCAGACAAACATGAACGCGACGTCGTCACGGTCGCACTCGGTGCTCACGGTGCTGCTGACGCAGACCCGGATCGACCAAGAGTCGATGACTGCGTCGGACATGACGAGTAAGATCAACCTCATCGATCTTGCCGGTTCTGAGCGGCAGAACAAGACCGGGGCGTCTGGCCAGCGGCTCAAGGAGGGCTCGGCCATTAACCAGTCGCTCACGGCGCTGGGCAACGTCATCGAGACGCTTGCCGACCTCTCACAGCTTGACGAGGCCAAACGGGCGCACTCGAAGCGGGTCGTCCCATACCGCGACTCCAAGCTGACCCGGATTCTGCAGGAGAGTCTGGGTGGCAACGCCAAGACGATCATGGTGGCGGCGATTTCGCCGGCGGCCGACAACTTTCCCGAGACGCTCTCGACGCTGCGGTACGCGAACCGGGCGTCGAAGATCCAGAACGTGGCGGTCATCAACGAGTCGCCCAACGAAAAGGTCATTCGCGAGCTGAAGGAGGAGGTGACCCGGCTGCGGGAGATGCTGGCGACGGGCGGCATAGACGTGTCGACCGGCGAGCCCGTGGAGGCGGCCAAGTCGGCCGAGATGGAGGCCGAGCTCCTTGCGCTCCGTGAGCAGCTCTCGAAACAGTCGGAGTTTATCCAGATGATGGGCCTGACGGCGGAGGATCGCGAGGCGTTCAAGTCGCGGCGGCTGGCGGCCGACATGGAGGAGATGGAAGGCGACTTGCGCGAGCTGCACGGCATCGACTTTGGGGTCGAGATGACGACGCCGCACCTGGTCAACCTCAACAACGTGTCGCTGGCGTACTCGCTCGACGCATCGCAGACGAGCCTCGGTCGGTCGCATAATTGCGACATTGTGCTGGGCGGGGTCCTTGTCCAGCCGGAGCATTGCTCCATCACCAACGAGGGCGGCGTGTACACGGTTGTGCCGTCGTCGGCAACGGTGGCGGCGCAGTCGCGCGACGCCGGCGGGATCTCGCGCGGTGGCGTGCTCTTTCTCAACGGTGAGCTCGTTGTCGAGCCTGTCCAGCTTGCGTTTGGCGACCGGCTTGTGGTGGGCAACAACCACTACCTGATGTTTGAGGATCCGGCCGCGCGCGAGACAGCGGGCGACGCCGCGCCGGTGTTTGACATCATGGCGGCCGTCAACGAGCTGCGGACCAAGGACACGTCGGCCAAGATCGAGGCCGAGGCCGACGAGACCGAGGACGAGTCGACGCTCCGCGAGGCGCTGGAGCGGTCGCTGGCAGACGTGCGGCCCGCGCTGCGCGAGGCCAACGCCATTGCGCGGGCCATGGGCCGGTCGCTCACCTTTGAGTCGGCCTTTGTCTACGACATGTCAGCCGGAGTGGCGTCGGCGGCGACAACGCTCAACGTCAAGGTTGTGCCCGGCAGCGACGACTCGACGCTCGATGAGCCGCGGACGGTGACGCTCGACGACTTTGAGAACCGGCTCGACCGCATGAAGGACGTGTACCACACGCTCCAGGAGTACGGCGCAGACGTGGCGGCCAAAGAGTGTGCGCTCGACGACCCGTTCCACTTTCCGCCCGAGGACGAGCGGTTCGGCCTCGCTCACGTCCTCCTCCTCGCCCTCACCGAAGGCATCCCGGTCGGCCCGGCCATGACCACGCCGATTTGGGACGGTGACGGCGGCTACCTCGGGACGCTCCAGATCTCCATCTGGCCTGCAACCGCCGACGGCGCCGTCATCGAGTACTCAGAGCTGCCAGAGGACTGGCTGCTACCGGGCACCACCGCGCACGTTATTGTTGCCCTCGAGTCGGTCACCGGCCTCGCCGCCGACCACACCGACATCTACCTCGCCTACACCTTCCCGGGCGCCGCCGAGCGGGTGGTCACACCGCTCTCGTCGCAGGTCGTCACCCACGACTTTGACCACGAGGCGCTTGTGCCTGTCAAGGTCACCGAGTCGCTGCTCGAGGCTTTTATGCAGGGCGAGCTGGTCGTCGAGGTCTGGTCGGCCGTCGAAGCGTAGTCGGTGCCTCACCTCACTCCAGACACTGACAGAAAGCGCGCTTGAGGCAGCCGCGCGAGTGCGGATGTTCAGCGAGCCACCAGCCCTGAAAGGAGGGCCCCGAAGTAAAGCCTGCAGCTAGGTCGTGGGCCGAGCCCCAGCGGCCGCGGTAGAGCATCCACCGCGGGCTGCCTTCGCTGATGACCACCGCCGTCTCCGGATCCCACACATGGCCGTTTCCAGTGAGGTCGTTGGCAAAGCCGAAGAGGCGCCAGATCCGGCCAGCTCGCGGGTAGAGGCCGTGGCCCGCCTTGGCCACATACGCCACCAGCCGCCGCGAGTTTGGCGAGGCGAACTGGAGATCGGCAGCGTCGACGTACTCGCCGTCACGCATGCGGTGCGCTGCAAAGTAGGCCCGTGTCACCTCGCCGCTCTCTCGGTCGACGTACACACTCATGTGCTCGACGTCGGCCTGGTGCTCGCCGGCTGAGCACGCGCCGCAGCAGATGGCGTACGAGCCGTTGAACGGATACATTGTGACGTACGTGATAGCCACCTCGCTTCCGTGCTCTTGTACGTGCGCATACACCGGCACGCTCGCTAGATGGTCCGGGTGCGTCCCGACCTCGGCGTCGCGATCAATGTCCAGCCGGTAGAGCCACGACTCGGTTGGGAGCGGGAGTTCATCCAACAGCCTCCCCTCGTCTTCAGCCTCGGCAGCGAGGGCAGTTTGATACGGCGAGGCATACGGATTGAGTAGCGTCTCAACGTTGAGCTCGCCGCGTGGCACCATCAGACGCGATGCAATCCGAGTCTCGCCGTGGCACGCGAGCATCGAGTCATACCACAGCTCCGAAGCTTCGATCATCTCCTCTGCCGAGGTCGGAAAGTAGATCTCATCTGGATGCAAAACAAAGACTGGCCGGTACGTTTGGGCCCAGTAGTTAGCTTCATCGCAATCCAATGTATGCATTGACTTTGTTGCCCCAGTCATCGTCGTTGTTGTGGATGATGTCGGCCGGGATGTCATCGAACTCGTCGGTGCCAAAGATGAGTATCGACCGGAGCATTCTGCGTATGTCCCAGAGCCAAGAGTTGACGACTCCAGCAGCGGAGTACTCGCCGTCTCTGAAGACCATGTCGTCGAGCTTGACATGGTGCGGTGGGCCGTGTGAAATGTGTATGGATGTGTGTCCAGGTGAGGTGTGGCGATGTGCGGACAGGCACGAAATGGGATGCGATGGGAGAGGGGATGGATGATGTGGATCATCGGGAGGGGGGGTGAGCTGTGGACGGAAGGTGTGCTGTGGGTCGAGGTGACGCCGCATGGACGAGTCGAGGGCTGGAGCAGGGGCAGGGGCGGGTGTATGGGCAGGGGCAGGCGCAGGGATCGGGGAGGGGCGGGGTGCACTCGTCTCGGTCGATCACTTTGGGTTTGAGATCTGAGTGGACGATGCGATCAGCGGCGAATGGCTGGTGTGACAGTGGTAGTGGTGGCGTGGTGGCGGTCATGATGGTGGTCATGGGGGTGATGGCGGCGGTGGCAGGCGCGGCGAGTGGCAGCAGTGAGAGGCGATACCTGGACCGGCCGAGCTGGGCGATGCGGGCGGCTTTTACGGATCCAAGCCAATTGAAGCGTGTCAACTGGGGAGGAGAGGGTGGAGCGGACGTCAACGAGATGGAAAGGAGCTCCAAGCACACCATCGTGCACTTTCTGCTGCGCGGCATGCACGCCCGGCGGGTGTATGACGACGGCGATGCGCTGGAGATGCTCGCAGCAGTGCTCTGCTCGCCCGAGTACATCGCCCACGATGATGCCTGCCCGCTTGTGACTGCCGTTCATCTCCGGATCATGGAAGCGCTGCCCATCTTTCACCGGTGCGTGTCGCACTCGTGGCTCGGCGAGTGTGTGGGCATGGCCGACGCTCGTGGGTGGACGGCCCTGCATGTGGCAGCCAGCTCCAAGTCGGCTGCGCATGCAGCTATGGTGGCAAGGGCAGAGCCGAGCGGAGAGTACACGATGTACACCCGCAGCCAGCTCGATAGCCTGGTCACTACTACCGAGCTCGAGGCCGTTGTGCGGTATGTGGCGGCGTCGAGCCTTGCGCCTCGGGCGCGGGTGACCGGTGACACGCCGCTGCACATCGCGCTCGACGCGGAGCGGTACGACGCGGCGCGGGTGCTCCTGGCGCGGGCCAAGGACGATAGCGGCGGCGTGGAGGCTCAAGCACGGCTGTTGTGTGGTGAGCTCAACAGCGTTGGGCTCTCCGCCCTCGAGCTCGGCGTCCGCCGGGCGGCAGCGTCGGCAGGCAGCACCACGCTGGCAGCGCGGGCCGCGCTGGCTGCCGAGCTCGGGATCGGTTGCCCTCTGATAGACTTGGGCGACAGCGATGTGTGGGCCGACAACGCCGGGTGGCTCAAGGAAGGGCCGATGGCGATGGCAAGCGCGCGGAGGCGGATTCCGTCGTGGCGGCTCGGGTGGTACGCCAAGAGCGCGATGGACGCAGTCATGGCACGCCACGGTAGCGACCGGTGTGATGTGGCCGAGTTTGATGTCATTGCTGATGCGCAGCTGTTGGGCGATAACGAGGCGTTTCGGGCGCTGGTACTCGCGCGGCGAATGCCGTTTGTAGTCCGCGGGCTCGTAGCTGAGTCGTGGGCGGATGCCCAGATGGAATCGGCGTTCTCCCGGAATACACTCCTCGCCACCTTTGGCCGCGAGCGGATCGAGGTGGCGGACATGCCGTACGGCGGCGGGTACGGGCGGAACGTGCGCAAGACAACGCTCAAGAGGTACGTTGCCGAGGTGATGGACGATGGCGGGAGCAGCCAAGAGTATGTCTTTCTCGGCGCTCCCTCGCATCGGCGGCCGGCGATGCTGGCGGCGGCACGGCTGGAGCGGCCGCAGCTCTTCCGCGACTTTGACGTAGTGCTCGAGCAGTTTGCGCTTGGCCCCGCAGGCTCTGGCGCACAGCCGCACTACCACGGGGCGGCGATGAACGGGCTCATTGCTGGGGCCAAGCGATGGTACTTTAGCTCGTCGGGCGGGTTCTACAACGGTCCGATGGCTGCATGGCTTGAAGACGAGGGCCAGGTGTGGCGGACAACGTGTATGCAGTTTCCGGGCGACGTGGTGTTTGTGCCGAGCCTCTGGGGGCATGCGGTGGTCAACGTGTTGCCATCTGTGGCTGTGGCGATCGAGATGCTGGTGTGATGCGGGGTCTTTAACGGCGGCAGGGCCGGTCAGCGGCGCTTGCGCTGGGCATGCTTCTTCTTGGCGACGCGCTGTGCGCGCTTGCCGGCCTCCTGGGCGGCCGAGACGATCTTCTCGTACTTGCCCGAGGCCTGGCGGCGATGACGCTTGTTGAGATCCTTGCGGTTGAGCTTGATGTAGGCGTAGGGGTCGGCCTCACCCTTGAGCTTGACGTCACCGCCGGCCTTCTTGGCGCGGTACTTTGCACCCGACTGGACCACGGCGCCGTCGTTGCGCTTGGCGCGCTTGTTGGGCTTGTACAGCTTGCGCGGGCCCGAGCCCTCGACAGCCATGGCAGCGACGCCTCCGCCGTTGTCATTGTCATCGTCGTCTGATCCGTGGCGTGAGCGACGCTTGCGCGATGGCTTGGCGGCGTGCTCATCGTCGGCATCGTCGTCATTCTCGGCGACGACAATGCGGCCGTCCGAGGCGAGCGGGAGGCCGGCCTTGGCCTTGCCGTTACGTGACGAGTGGGCGCCGGTAACATTGCCTGCGGCGTCGCGCTTGACGAGGTGTGTGGCGGCGGACGGGTCGAGGAAGTCCATAAACTCGTCGTCGACTTCGCGGACGGCAAAGCCGGCGTCGGCGTCGGATGCGGGGACATGTGCGGAGTCAGTGGCGTCGTCGTCGTCGTCCGAGTCGACGCCGAGGTAGACATCATTAATGTCGTCGTCGCCGCCCTTGGCGGCGTGCTTGGCGTTGCGGTCGGCGGACTTGTTCCGGGCGCGAACCTTGAGCTCGTGGCGGAGGTTAGCAAAGTACTTGTTGTGGTTCTTGGGCACCAGGGCCTTGAGCTCATCAAAGCCGCCGAGGAGCACGACGAGCTTCTCCCAGATGGAGCGGATGATCTTGCGGAAGGAGCCCTTGCGGTGGCCGGCGTAGTCGAGGGTGGCCTCGGCAATGTCTCCAGCACGGGTGCCGAGGACAGGCGGCGGGACGATCTTGATGGCACGCTCGAGGTGGTGGAGCGCGGCGCGGACAACGGCGGTCACGTCCGACTTGAGCAGCTGGATGACGGTGGGGAAGGTCTTGATGACAAACGCCTCTGGCAGGTGGTCGCCAAAGCGGACCATGATGTAGGTGTAGATGCCGAGCGAGCCTGCGACGAGCTCCGAGTCCGGGTTCGTCACGCCAATGAGGACGAGGGCGGCGAGGGTGGGCATGTCGTAGTCGGCGTCGCCGGTGGCAACCTGTGTGGCGATGGCCTTCATGAGGTCCATGGCGGCAGCAGCCTTGCCGCTCTCGCGGGTCGCCACAATGAGCTCGACAAGCAGGGTCGAGTCGTCGGGCGAGACGACGTGCGAGAGGGCGGCGGGCGGGAGGGCGCGGACGAGGGCGGCGACGCACGAGAGGCGAAGCGAGCGCGCGGCCGAGAGCGATGCCTCTGTGCCGGAGCGAAGGGTGGCAAGGATGCGAGCGAGGTTGGTCTCGAGGAACGACGGCGATGCGGTGATCATGGCGGAGAGGACGCGGTAGGAGGTCTTTTGCAGAGTGGTGTCGGTGTGTGTCAGCTGCGGCTCGATGACCTTGTACAGCAGCTCGAGCGAGTCGTCCGAGAGGCCACCGACGAGGACGACAGCAAGGGCGGTGAGGTTGTGCTGCTGGGCGAGCTTGTCAGCGAGTGGGATGGAGTCATCGGTCGACGACTTGAGCAGGGCCTTGGCAAGCTTGCGGAAGAGCTTGTCGAGCTTGGGCCCACGGGCGATGTGGGCGTAGGCTTTGAGGGTCGAGCCGAGGTACTCGCGGGCGGACGGGTCGGCGTCGAGGAAGAGCTTGACGAGGAGGTCGATGAACTCGGGCGCGGCGTCGACGAGGAGGGAGAGGATGGCGTCAGCCTGCTCGAGGGTGAGCGAGGCTTCGAGCGAGGCGACGCGGCCGGCGGGAGTAAGCAGGGTGTCTGCGGTGACGAGGGCGGCGGCGTAGGGCCCGGCGGTGGGCGGCGGCGAGGGGCGGGCTGCGGCGGCCGAGCCGTCGTGAACGGCGAGGGCGTGGCTGATGAGGCGGCGGAGACCGGCGCAGACGGTGGTGCGAAGCTCGGGCTCGGACTCGAGGGTGCGGCCCATGAGGGCGGCAAGGCGGTCCCAGACCTTGGGCACGTCGACGGGCGAGCGGCAAAAGGCCGGGAAGAGGTCCCACAACAGGAGTGCGCGCATGGAGAGGTTCTTGGCGAGGACGGGCATGTCGTCGTCGTTGAGCGCCGAGAGCGAGCGAGCGAGGATGGCGTTGGCGGCCGGCTCGATGTACTGCATAAAGTACTGCAGCTTGGCACGGACGACGTACTTCTTCATAACCAGCAGCATCCAGTCGTTGGCCGGCGCCGGGTTAGCGGCGGTGTCCTCGGGCGGGACGAGGGCCATGGGCACGACGGCACAGACCGGACCAGGGCCAAAGGCGCGGAGCGCCTCGCCAACGCAGTGGTACAGGGCGCGGGTGTCCTTAAAGTCGGGCGAGGCGGCAATGTCGGAGAGGCGAGCGAGGATGCCGGAGCTGATGCCGGCCTCGAATGCGGCGCGGACAGCGGTGTTGTGCTCGTCGGCACCGGGCGCCTCGGAGCGGTCAAGAGTGAGCGGGATGAAGAGGGCAGAGGCTGCGGCGAGGACCGCGCCCCACACGTTCTTGTGCTTGAAGGAGAGGCCGGCGGCGACGGCGGCGATGACGGCCTGGAGCGAGCCGGAGCCGAGGTGGCCGAGCTCGACGACCGAGGCGAGGACGCGGCGGAGGCCGTTGAGGGCGGCCTGAGCGAGCTGGCGCGAGTCGTGAGAGAGGAGGTCGATGCAGCGGGAGACAAAAGCGGGGACGCGGTCGCCGGCGGCGGCGGTGTTGACGAGGCCGAGAACAAAGAGCGCGTTGCGCATGACCTTCACGTACGCGATCTCGACCTCGACGTCGATGCCGGTGGTGGAGGCAATGGATGACGCAGCCTTGGCCGACGCACCGACGTCCATGGCGAGGGCCGACGCCGTCGCGCTGCCCTGCGGCGGAATGATCGAGGTGAGCGAGTCGACAAACGACTCGAGCTGCTCGGGAGTGTCGGCAAAGGCGGCGCCAAAGGCGTCAATGTGCGAGGTGAGGCCGACGAGGAGGCGGACGAGGTGGAGGCGGAGGTGGGCGAGTTGGGCCGCCGAGTAGACGGCGGAGGAGCCGGCTGAACGGGCCTTAGCGGCGCCGGCCAGGCGCGAGAAGAGGGCAGAGAGGACCTTGAACAAGCTCTTGCCCTCGATGGCGTGGATGACGGTGCGGAGGAAACCGAGGGCATGGAGCTGCTGGCTCACAATCTTGGCGGCGGCGCCCTTGTCGATGCCGGACTCATCCGAGGCGGCAAAGGTGGCAAGGGCAAAGGAGGCGACGGCCTTGCGGGCAAACTTGGCGGTCTTCTCGCTCACGCGCGAGTTCTTGGCGATGCCGAGGACGAGGCGGACGCCCTCGGCAGCCTGCTTGCGGACCTTGGGCTTTTCGTGAAGAACAAGCGAGATGAGGCCGTCAAGAGCCGAGGAGGCGACCGAGTTGGGCGCGCGGTAAGCCGATCGCGGGACCGACTCGAGGATGGCGGCGAGGCAAGTGATGCCCGCGCGGAGAAAGGCAACATCCTTTGCGACCGCCGGCATGGCCATCATGGCGCCGATGAGCTTGAGCGAGTCGTCAGCTCGCTTTGCCAGCAGTTGCTGAGGAACATGAGCCAGAATGAGAGAGAGAATGCGCAGAGCACCATAGACGGACATGGGCTCGGGCGAGGCCTTTGCCGCCAGAGCATCCAGAAAGACCATGGTAGCTGAAAAGTAGGTAGAAGGCGAGCGAGAAGCATGTTCCGAGAGAATGGTCTCCGTCACAGCTTCATACAGAGCATACGTCCGCTGATGCCGTTCCACCTTTTTCGACTTTTGCGCCAGTAGCGGCGCCA